TCGATAATTTCCTAGGGATTAAACCCATCCCCTAGAAATCTGCAGAATGCGACATCGAAATCTGGGGAATTCCGTACAATGCAATCATCGACTCGGAGCCGCTGTTTTGGCTATCTCGTTGAGAGTAGTTAAGAGGGCAGGTAGGAAAAACGACATGATCATGCTTTCGAAAAAAGATCAGCTCGTATCGGCAGATGAAGAGAAGATTAAAACAGTGGGAAGAATGACCAATGTCGCTTTCCGATTAGGAAAGGTGCACACACTGGGAGATGTCGTCGTGCTAGATGTAAATACCTATGACGTCCTTTTTGGACTTCCCGCTCTTGTGGCATTACGAGCGAACCTGGATTTCGAGCGAAGGTCAATCATCCTCCGAAATACAGGAGGAAAGCCGTATGTTGTGCCTATGAGACTTACCCTTCGTAACACCCTCAACGCAGTCCCACGGGTCTCGCCGATGATGGCAGGGACTCTCCGTATGATCTCCTGGGAAGAATCCGTGGACGGGGAGTCATCAACAAATGAGGCGGACACCAGTGACGAAAGTGACCCAGAAATCCTGAAGCTAGTGCGACAGTGCGTTTTTTGTCCGCCACCCAGAATGATCGCAAGAACGATGCATCTTACCAGGCGAAACATTCAGGGCTAAGGCAATGATTTTAGGAAAACCCCTCGTACAAATTTCGAAGATGGTCGATTCTCAAGAACCCCCTCAAACCCTGTACGAAGGAATCACCCCCCTTCCCGCCAGATATAGCGACAAAAAGCATTACTTCGACATTACGGATCTACCAAGGTCCCTCTTGACACCTGTAAAAGAAGTGCGACTGTTGCGCTTGGGGGCAGAAGCCAGTTCTTTGGAACCCCCTGCGCGCCTTGAAGCTGACTTAGACGAACTAGGAGTAAAAATCGCAACTAAAACCGTACTATGGCAGGATGTCTGTGATGGAATCACCCCAGAAGGACACGTGGCCATTCGGGAAGAAGACGCCCAGATGATGGCCACGGTGTTCTCCTGGCGATCGGATCATTCCTTCATTTCTGCACCCCCTGCCGATGTGGCAAAACCTGCACGCACGAAACAGATAGATGTACGGATCTGGGACCAACTTTTTGAGTTACACGTGCCACAGTACGTACCCGATGAGATTCATCGATTGATTGCGGATATTCTGACGGAATATCGAGGAGCGATTAGCGTGACAGACACTGACATTGGCCTGTCGTTAGTTATTCAACACGAAATACAGACGGGGAATCATTCCCCGATCCACTGCAAGCCGTACCGATACTCCCAGATAGAACGCAAAAAGGCTCTTGAACGAATTCGGGAATTCGCAGCCAGCGGGTGGATTGAACCCGCCACCGGACCATGGTCGTTTCCAGTAGTGTTAGTGCCGAAGAAGAACGGATCAATTCGCATATGCATTGATTATCACAAGCTGAACGAAATCACGATTAAAGATGTGTATCCCCTCCCCCGGATTGATGATTTGCTGGATGCGATTGGATGTGCTAATTATTTTAGTAAGTTTGATATTCGGCATGACTTCCATCACATTCTGGTCAAGGAGGAAGATCGGCCGAAGCCGACCTTCGTATTGTTTGAAGGCACGTGGCAGTGGGTTCGGTATCCGATGGGGATTTGCAACACGCCTGCCACGTTTCAGCGGGCGATGAACATGACATTCCATAACTTCGTCAACAAGACGCGGCTAACTCAGGGAATGATCAACTTCTGCGTGATCATATACATGGACGACATCCTTGTCTACTCGGAGACCTATCACGGGCATGCACAACACATTGAGTGGACGCTGGGAGCACTGAGGGACGCTAGATTCAAGATCAGACTCGAAAAGAGCGAATTTTTCCTTTCGGAAATCTCGTTCTTGGGCTACGTCATGACACGTGGAGGACTGCCGCCTGACTCGAGAAAGGTCGCAGCGGTGAAAGAAGCCCCGGTTCCCACGTCACTGACGCAGGTTCGAACCTTCTTGGGGTTTGCTTCGTACTATCGCCATTTCATCAAGGGCTTCGCCGCGATTGCACGACCACTAACGAATCTGTTACGAAAGGACCAGCCTCTCAGTTGGGACGCGGAGTGTGAACAGGCCTTCGCAACCCTCAAGGACGCTCTGGCGACGGCCCCTATTTTGATTCGACCGGACCCCTCGAAACAATTCATTCTTATCATCGACTGGCAACCGAAAGCTATCTCCGCTATTTTAGCGTAGAAGGGGAACGATGGTCGCAAACATGTCATTGAGTACACGTCGCGAACTGTGCCAGACGAGCGGAGGAACGACTCAGCACCTGAAGGTGAATGCTATGCAGTAGTCTGGGGAATCCAACACTTCCATCCGTATCTCTATGGACAGAAGTTCCGCCTCGTGACGGATCACGAGCCTTTGCTGGCCTTGAAGAAGCTCACTAATTACACGGGCATGATTGGACGTTGGGCGGTACGGCTGCAGGAATACGACTTCGACATCATCCACCGGAAGACAGAAAGGCACGGCAATGCGGACGGACTGACACGTCTGCATAGGCCCGCTAAAGTACCGAAAGGCGATGAAATTACACCGTGGAAGGAGCCGGACTTGACAAACGAGCCTAAGTACGGATAAGTGGCAATTCTCCCACGTGGCAAGAAGCAGAACGGTGGCAATGGGTGATGGAGGTAACCCCACTACCCCACTTTCTCCCCTCTCCTCTTCGTGTCTCCTCTCCCTGCCCGACAAATTTTGCTATTTTTGTGAAGCTATCTCCCGCGTGTACTCGGTCTCCATGCATCCTAACGGGGAAGGGTATGCAAAATGGATAGATTATGGACAGTGTGTCGCACGAGCCCATGGCTCATGCATCCAATACAGAAACAACAGTAAACCGTGGTTGTGCCCCTTGTGTCGGACTGACAAGATTCCGACCGAGGCTCGCTTTTTGGATGCCACGTCAGAAGGTTGGAAAAGACCCGGAAGTTTAGAAGGGCCGGAGTATGGACTGATATCGGCTTGATTGTCACCTTAGTGGGTAACCCTCTCCTGGATTTCACCAAGGAAGATCGGAAGAGGGCTAACGAGAGGGCTCGGGATTATCGATGGATAGAAGGTAGGTTAGAGAATCGGAAAACAGACGGCAGTGGGATTTGGATGGTTGTACCGCATCCGTTCATGAGGTATAAATGGGTTAAGACGGCACATGACGAAACTGCGGCTGATTTCGCCGTACGGATCATGGAGTCGGCTATCGACAAAAATGAGTGGTACTGGTCCAATATTCGCGACGATGTGAAGTACATCGTCGCCAACTGTCAAGTCCGCGCCGCTGATAAAACGCCGATTCAGCCGCCAAGATCGATAGTGCCAACGGTAGTTGAACGGCCATTTCAAAGAGTCAGCATGGATACTACCAACATAGTGGTGCCCCCTGGTCCTAATAGTTGTGAGTATTCAGTCCTATTGGTATTTGTCGAGCACTTTTCGAAATGGATCAAGGCCTACCCTTGTCGCATGCAACAAGCCACCGAAATTGCGCGATATGTCAACCGTTTTCTCGGAGTGCATCAGGATACGGAAGAAATCCTGACCGATAACGGGGTTGAATTTAGGGGAGAGGTACTGAGGAATCTGGTCATACATGGAGTCGCCATACGGAATACTGCACCCCACATGTCACAGTCCAATGGGCTGGTAGAAAACACGAATAGGGTGATAGAGACAGCGTTGCGATGAAATATCGCGGTACGGGATCCGAGGCCCTGGCCCGATATCGTCGACCACATCCTGGCGGTTCATCGCGGTACACCTCACGAATCGATGGGGCTAAGTCCCTTCCAATTAAGGACCAATAGTGTTGCTTGCGTTTCGATACCAAGCCTCCCGGATGAATCTACACTGAACCGGCGACCCACCAGGGCCACGGCTCGGGACAAGGCCAAACGACACTTAAAATTAATGGAGCGATCCCTCCCCAGGCTAGCCCGAAAACGCCAGAAAATGACCGAGTTGGCCCATGGCCGACAGGTCCGAAGCTACGAGGCCCAGAACAGGAACGCAGGTCCACGGCCCCAGTACAAATTGGGGGACATCGTGCAAGTAAGGAAATGTGCTCGTCAGGGTAAGCTAGCACCACGATTCTTCGGGCGATTCCGCGTGATTGAGCTCGGAACCAACGGCGTAAACATAGTGCGGCTTGCGCCTGAGGTCTCCGGCAGCCGATCGGCTCGTCCGATCACCCGCCACGTGTCCTACCTTCGCCCCCTCCCTCCTTCTCCATCTTCGCGTTCTTCCGAATCCTCCTCCGCTTCGGAAGAGGACGACGACCGCTTATTGCCTATCTCTCCATCTCCATCTCGTTCTCTTTCCATTACTCCGTCTCCACCGCCATCGTCACGAGTTTTCTTACGGAGCGAGCTCTCCACAATTCTCTGTTGGTGCCACGGTGTCTTATCTCGGCGATTCGACAAGTTCATCATCCGCGGCTCAATCCAGATCTTCGGCGACTTGCGTAGTTCTTCTGTACCCAGGGAGTGTACGCGGCTGCTGAGTTTCGTTTTGCGGGAAGTCCCCGGGCGGTTGTCCTAGCAGAAGCAGTAGGAGTTCATCGGCGATCGGCTCCGGGAGTCATCCACGTGTCTACGGTGGTCGCCTTTAGTGGCGACATCAGCACCATCGGCCCGTTGAGACATACAGCTATCAAGACGACGCTCCGGTTGTGGGCACAACAGTTGGAGGCGGAGTGGAATCACTAGCTCATGCCCTATGGAGACAACCTTTTTCCCACGGACGGCATCGATTTCGACGGGATTCGAGCCTTCCAGCACGAGCCGACGGTGGTGCTCCCCGAATCATCCCCTTCCCCCGTCCTCAATGAACCCATCCCCGATCTCCACCTTCGACCTCCCCTCCTTCTTTCCCACCTTCTGGCAGTCCGGAGTCCACCCGCATCTTTCCTTTCGTCTGGAATCACTTGCTGTCCCCCTCCTCGACCCCTTGCAGTGGAGGCGTTGGCAAGAGCACTTCATTGAGTTGTCGGTGTGTCTGGTCGGAGTAAGGGTCACGTGGACGCAGCACAAAGATCACCGCCAGTGGGCCGAGTACCTCGAGCTGCTCCTCATCCAGGCGTGGCGAACGGAAGTGGAAGGCGATCTGCTCGGATTCCTCTTCGGATCCGTGCGGACCGATCATAGCCAACCGATCTCGCACGAGTTAACGATCCCCCTCGCACAGCTGGCAGACGATCTCCCACTCAAGATCATCTCGCAGAGCGATGACAACCCGGTCCCGCATGTTCTTACGCAGACCTTGGCGCCATATCTTCAGTGGTCGGCGTGCTTAGAGGAACCAGGAAACGGCCGCAACCCACCATCACAACGCAGGTACCTGGACCCGCGCGAGATAGTCGACCTCGCCTTCTTCCAAGATCGAACAGCTTCCGAGAACGAGGAGGTCAAGATTGAAGCCGAAGATGAAAGCTCGGAAGAAGAAGAAGAGGTCAAGGAAAAAACCGACGAGGAAGAAACTCCCGAGGAAGAAACTCCTGAGGAAGGGAGCTACAGTGAGCACAGCGAGGGCGAGCAGAGTGAAGAGGAGGCGGAAGAAGAGCAAGACGACGAAGAAGAAGAAGAAGACCAGGAGGAGTTAGTAGAGTCAGAGTACGAAGGATTCGAGGAGGAAGTGCGCGGCAAGGCTCGGGCGCAGGCCTAGGCACAGAAAAAGGAAGAGATCGCGGTCGGAAAGCGACCATTGGAATTCGCCAGCGCAGCCGGCGAGCCGCTCACCGACAATCCGGCCCGGGACCCCGAGTCGCCTAAGCCCGAGGATGGAGAGACACCTGGCGAGACTTCGGTCGCACCAGCGAGGCGGCAAGGGAGCAGATCCCCCTCCCCTTCCGCCACCGACCGCCCATCAACTCGTCCACGTACCAATGCGGGGCATTGGGCTTCGTCACCGGTCCTTATCCCACCGTCCCCTTGATCACCTCTCCTTCCGCCAAATCACCACCCGCGTCACCTTCCCCGCCAATCCTTTCCCCATCGATACCTTCCGCTTCTTCTGCACTACCCGTCTCGCTGTCACTGTTCATCCCCACCCTTCCACCCGATGCGCCCGCTTTGTCTTTTGCCTCCATATCCTTTTCCTTAGTGCCGCGTGGCGAGGCCACAATATGATCGAGGTATGCTGCATGATTACGGGGACTATCCCCGCATGCGAGAACCACGATCACTTTCGAGCGGCCCTTTTCCGAACCTTCACCACCCTTTACCCCGACTACCTCGCGTCCCTCCCCCACACTGGCAATCGATTCCCCCGCTTCCATCGGATCGTTCGCTACCAGGAGCTTCTGAAGACGGTGGCCGGAATGGAGAGCTTCCTTCCCCCGCTACCTATCAACCCTCCTCCTCGCCACCCCTCCATGTACCGTCTCCCCTTTCCCCTCCCCGGCTCGCTGATGCAGGATTAGTGTACACATGTTCTGACGACGACACGTATAATCCCCTCCTGGGATTGTCAAAGGCCCTCCCTGAGGAATTAGTAGTAGAGCAGTACTGCCACGTTGGACGACGTCCACACGCATTCGAACGGTAAGTAGCATGGAAGAGCTCCGCATGTCGATCGATTAGAGAAATCGACACGTGTCAACAAGCAAGCAGGAGCTTGCTAATATTGGAACCCCCTGGGCGTCATATATGTGACGAACCACTTTCTGCAACACGCGATTTTCAGCATGGTCTCAATGAGGGGTTCTAAGCTTGGAAGGTTTTACGAGAGATTGGGATGGATAGGAAATTGCATCAGTGTCCTTGTTTTTTCGTCTTTTTCGTCGCTTCTTTTCGAATGGCTGGGTTCGGAGTTGGGTGTGTCCTTGCACGGCCGGTTGATTGATTGGTTGGCCGGATGTCTGCGGCGCGCCAACGAGCGCGCGATTAATAAATATTGACGCCATTTCTTTTCGGTTCGGTTTCGGAACTTTTGGGCGCAGACATCGCGCGGGAATTTGCTTCGTTCTTTTTGAATTTTCTTTTTCGAATTTATCGAGCCCCGTTGGCTCTCGGAATTGCGGACTTTCCTTCCAGAACCTGTACTTTTGCTTTTTCGCATTAGTTAGGAATTTAGGAATTTTGTAATTAGGACTTTCTTTGGCCGCGCGACGCCTTTTTGCTTGCGCGCTTCTTTACGCGGCTACAACGGAATTTTGATTAGTCGGCGCCTTTAATCGGGAGTGTAAATGTAATTGTGGGTTGGCGCCATTGTAATTGTATCTCTCTTCTTGCGCTTCGTCTTTCTTGCCCTCCTTCTCTTTCTTTTGCTGCATTTTTGTAACTACGGACTGCATGCTCATATCGATGCGTCGAGAATGGCTACGTCCCCCACGACGCGGCCCGGTCATGCAGAACGTAGGCACTCCCTCGCTAATCTCTCTCTAAGTCCTGGTAATTTCGTGCTCTTCGCGCATGCGTACACGCTATAAACTTCGGCTGCACGATTAGTTAGCTCTCTTAACCAGTTGTTGGAACCTCGGGGTTGCGTGATCAGAGAGGGTCGGCACGCGAGCAAAGTAAGAGGTGAGTAGAGCAGGAGTCGGGCGACCTGACGAGCTGCTGCCAAACGCGCAGGGTTTACGCGGGCCACGACGGACTGTGGGCGCGGGCAAACCTGACGGGTGTTGGAGGACTAAGTGGAGTGACGGCTTCGTGAGTTGGTGTGTGACGACGGACTGTCTGCATCGGAGAAGAAGAGAGAGAGGAAGAGAGAGAGTTGAGGTTGATGGACGTGGAGTTGCTATTTCTTTTATCTTTTCTCCCTCCTATCTCGTGTAAATAAGTTTTGATTTCGGCTCTGGGCGATTTGCCCGATTTTTTGTTTTTCGGAATTTGGGCTTGGGTTTTTGCTCACACTTGTCATTGCGATTTTTCCCACCTCCGAGGCACTGTGTGTATGATTGTTGAATGTATGGATGTATGGATGCCATGGTTGATTGCTTATCCTTCTGCCGGATCCTTCAAGTTGTCCTTGCTTTTGGTTGTCCCATCTGATGCACTTGTAAGTAGAATAGGAATTTTTCGCAATCGATAATCCCGTTYTTGTCTTCGCGTGTCTTTTGATTGAGATGATTGTGATTGTTGCATCTCACATGCTCAAAACAGCCCGGAGTAATTAGACGATCGGATGTCGAGTCCGGCGAACGTCGCGCGAGGACACATGTAAAACGGGATCTGAGTTGCACACTTACACGTATCCCCGGGCGACGATTCATCAATCCCAACGGAACCATTGATCACCGACGCATTGTCTGACTAAGCAGGGCCAACCCAAGGTCCCCTACGACGTAGTCGCCCCGTACGAACACGCGTAAGCCAGGCTTAATTCGCCAAGCCTGTGCGGGCTCGCACGTGGCAATCTCAATCGCCACGGACCCGCCCTTAGGCAACTCGTAACACCGCAATGACACAATGACGCGATCCTGGAATTCCGACTCATCATACGACCCGAATTACTGCACCCCTTGGATAAACAAACTCCTCCGACAGAGATACCCCTGCCTAACCGAGAACTGACTGTGTCCTCGGGAATTCCACTGCGTTACCACTAGCAACCCCCGGTGCTCTGATTTCCCTTCTCTGGACCATACCTACTATTTCATCCACCCTGGATTTGTTGTTATCATCACCAGTTTCCCTCACTTTCGCCTTCTTCTTCCGTATCATCAACTCAGCGTTGTCTTGTGGTCGGCCATAGCCCCCTACTGGCCCAGCACACCCTGCGGGAACTGCCGACGATGCGGCGATCAGAGAACCCCGGAGTTCCGGAGGCCTAAACCAAACGCGCAACGACCAACGCCACGTGGCAACTCCCGACAGATGGACTCAACGGAACCCCACCTACCCCGAAGGGGCCTGCCCACGAACCGCGGCCCCGAAACCAATGGCTCGCTCGGTCTTGAGCGAACCTCGCATACCATCGGCCTTGTAACCCGAAGATGCCCTCTCCGCCAAATTGCACCCGTGCCCTCGAAAGATCCTGCCACAGGAGATCCCAGTTCTGACCTGGGACTCCACTTTTTCAAAAATCCTTGGCACACCCCTTTTCGCACTTCCAGGCC